CAGCAATAGCAAGGCCTCTAACCAATATTCTCAAAGGAGAAAATGTCTCGGTGAGCAAGCATATGTCCAAAAAGGTCGAAAGACTGAGGAATATTCTGGTATTAGAAGATGGCATTCTTATGTACTTAGACTTCAAGCAGCCCTTTGACCTAACTACTTATGCCTCAATGGATGGCATCGGTGCAGTCCTATCCCAAGGGGGCAGCCCTATTTCCATGATTTAATGCACGCTAAAGCAAAGCGAGACACACTACGCCATGAATAAATGAGAATTGTTAGCTATTGACTGGGCTTTAGGTAAACTGCAAAATTACCTTTACGAGACAAAAGAAATAAATATTTTCACTGATCATCAGCCCCTTACTTTTGCTGTATCAGATAGAAACACGAATGCAAAAATCAAACGGTGGACAGCATTCATCGATGAACACAGCGCAAAAGTGTTCTACATACCAGTCAAAGAAAATTACGTTTATTACGTTCAAAAATCAAATTGTTCTTGAAGAAGCGAAATTCCCATTGAAACGAGTTATCATACTCTTTGGCCAAAAAATACCATATAAATCTTATAAACTTCACAGACAAAAACACCCTATTCAAAACAATCAGGCCACTCATCAACACAGACGCGGTAAACGCAATGCACTGCGATCTACCACCACTAACCAGTATACAACATGATTTGGTGCTAAATTTTCCGGCAACCAAATTCTGGCACTGAAAAAATATAGTGATCGACATTGCAGATAAAAATGAACAAATCGAAATTGTCACCACCGAACATAACCACGCGCACAGAGCCGCCCAAGAATATACTAAAAATTCTAAATTCTTTGCGATTATTATTTTCACAAATGACGAAGTTGGCCAACGAAGTAGTAACAAATTGCAAAATATGCACTAAGGCAAAGTACGATAGGCATCCCAAAAATAAAATACTTGGTGAGACACCAATTCCATAAAACGCTGGAGAAATACTCTACATTAATATCTCTTCAAATGACAAACAAATATTTCTTACTTTCATTGACAAATTCTCGAAATCCGCCGTAGTACAGCCACTGGCATCTCGCACTATGATGGATGTAAAACCGCCCATCATCCAGCTGTTGAATTAATTTCCACAGGCCAAGACAATTTATTGCGATAACCAAGCTTCTTTTGATTCAGAAACTATCAGGGTGCTGTTAAAAAACGGGTACCACGTCGACATTGTGAATGCGCCACCACAACATAGTTGCTCAAATGGCCAAGTCGAAAGTTTTCACGGCACACTCGCAGACATAGCGAGAGGTAGGCGAAAAAGTTTTCGTACAAAATAACAAAAGATTAGGAAATAACTTAACACCGCTTTGCACAGAAGAAACAATTCAAGCAGAACGGAACGTCTGTTCTTATTAGAGGGAGGGTGGTCCACAAGGACAACCTCCAATGATTGTTGCTCTCAAGTAAAATCACACTAGCTTAAATAGCTTTTTAAGAGTTTAAGCAGACAACAATTTCCATTCTTTGCTTCTTTTATTTTTACAGGATTGGACTTGCACTCCTACTATATCCCGGTAATAGACGGAAAGGTACTGGTATGGGAGCAACGTAATTTTCTGACCCACTCAAGCATTTTAACAGACCTCGCTAGCATCGCAGATGAAACAGTAAAATTCACCAAATTATTCTCTCAGTTGCACATGCGAAAACTGCTAGACTGTATCCACTACAGAGCATATCAGAAATCTATTATCCGTAGTAAACAGAATGGCAAAAAGCTTAGATTTCTTGGGTTCAGAACTCAAGGCAATAGCAGGCTCGCCAGACGCCTCTCAAGGCGTCAGGTGGTCTGAATCAATTTAATTGCCACACAAGCCCAAATAAGTAAACTCACCGACACGGTGAACGAAATAATTAAAACTCAAAGAAATGAATTGGTTGACACACCGCATTTATATGAAACACTATTAGCAAGAAATAGAATACTAATAAATCAAATATCTTAATTGATACTCACAATTACACTAGCCAAAGCGGGTATAATAAATCTTACAATATATGACCACGATGATTTGAAATCAACTATAAATGAAACCCTTTCAAAATTCCCAGAGTTAGCCTTACCGAAGCGTCTAAAATTAAGGTCCACCAATCCGAGACCATTGTACATATTTAAAAGCGTCTCCTAGGGTCAAGCTCATCTGCAAGAAAATCACCATCTTCCCGGTGGCACAACAACACGTCACACTACAGCTACAAGATGATAGCGTAGCCAAATTCGACGATGACTTTCTAGCGGTCAATAAATGCGTAACTACGACCTACGCCGCCGTCTGCAAATAGGCGGCGCCCTTTGCCGCAGGCAGCCAAGCCCCCTAAAGCCCATCACACAAGTCGATGACGCAAGTTCGATCACAATCAACGGTACATCAACGGTAAAAAATATGTAAACCTCTACTCAGCATCATCAGCCACGATCCAGTGCTAAGCATGCATCAACTGCAGAAGATGAACAACCACAATCTGCGGGTCATCCAAAGTTTGGAGGACGAATTGAAGGCCACCGGGTCACATAAGATTTGGATTGCAGCAGGCATGATCCTTAGTGTCGTTGGCCTTTTCATCGTTTGGTAAATTGTGAAGAGAAGGCAAGCATAGAAGGAAGTACAGAAGGCCATTAACATCTATAAAATAGCCGAGGACGGTAAAAAGCGGTCATTGCGACATTCTGCTGACGCATGAGTCAGCTGCGGCCAGCAGCGGTAGCCTGACACTTGCCTATGTCGCAACCGACAGTGTGGGCGTATGCTGATTCGGCTTACTGGATATAGCAGCTTACATTTGCGCCTAGTCTTTGGGCTCAGATCCAATTCACTGTTTCAATTCTAGTTTAGTTCGAATCTGACTTTCAATAAATATACTTGCTCCGGCCTTGCCATTATAACATTCCTTCTTATTATTGATATAATCACTGAGCAACAAGGCCAGTGATAAGAGAGCGAAGTGAAGCTCCCAACATAATCAACATAAGAAGACTAGTTACAATCTCCTCGCATATTGACTGCGAGATATCCTGGTTTTTGTTTCCAATATATTTCGGCTGTTCTTCGTCAACTGTCTTCGACGCAATTGTTTTAATCAGTTGAAACTGATAACAGTTTCAACCCGAACAAAAACGAAGGCGACCTTGGACCAGCCGCACAGAAACGGAGAGGCCCCATCGCCGTGATTTTCCGGTCCATATGTTCTTTTGTTAGTGATATACATAGGTTTACCGAAACAATAATAATAATGTACAAGACTTAATATTAATGCTAAGGATGTTTTTCCCCTTATTGTGCAGAGGTTAAGATAGTAAGGCAAATATCAACAAATAGACTAATATATAAGTAAGAGATTCTAGTCGGGTGCTTCCGACTAGGGGATACCCTGAACCCTCTTTTTCTAACATCAAATGCATATATATATTCTATTTTATCTCTTGTTATTTACCAAAAGTGCCCAAAAAACCGGATATCGAGATCGCTTTTTATCAATTGCTTGGAAACGAAGTAAGTTATCGATTATCGGAAACAAACTCGATCTGCGCGAGCACTAGGAGCACCTACATCTACGTCTCTAGCTCATATAGGTTCTGAGATCCTTGCGTTCATACATACGGACAGACGGACGGACAGACAGACGGACATGGCTAGATCGACTCGGCTATTGATGCTGATCAAGAATATATATACTTTATGGGGTCGGAGACACTTACTTCTGCCTGTTACATACATTTTGATTTTGCACAAATACAATATACCCTTATACCCATTTTTAATGGGTTCAGGGTATAAAAAAAGTATAGAAAATATAATAAAAATAGCTTGTGGCGACGTTGGCTGGGGATTTGATTTAAACGAACAGTCGTCTGCTTCATATAAACTGAACTTATCATATTGTGCGTCATTTAGTTATTTTTAGCATATGCATCCGCTCTTGAGACACTTTCTGCATATTTTAACTTTTAGCCTAGACACATATCTCGATTCCATTTACCCAATGGATAAAAATAACACGTTTTGTGTTAGTCAACGTAACAGTTAGGATTAAGCAATGCACACCCCATAAGTTGTATGTATATACGCTTGATCAGAACTAAGGGCTGAATCGATCTGGTCATGTCTGTATTTCAATCTCAGAAACTACAAAAAGAGTTTTATATTTGATATGAGCACACATATGAAGCTTGTAACCTCTGTCCACTTGCTTAAGAAATGTCACATGTTCAAAATTCACATAATTAAATGTCTTATTTAAAGTTGCCGCTTGCCTTAGATGATTATTTGTTTATGGTTATGATACTTTCACGTTTTCACAACATCTATCGAAATTTCGATTAATCACTCCAAAAAACATGAAATGTTCGGGGCGAATTTGCACATCTTTCAAATATATGCATTGCTTAGTAATGACTTAGTCCGAAGGGGATACCCTGAACCTTTTTCTACTAGCACCATTTTACCCTGCAAAAATAAAAAAAAAATTGCTAGCACGGGTCTCGAACGATCAACTACTTTTAACCAATCAAACTTCTTGCCTTTAATGAAAAACATACCAGAAAGGGCTGTACATATACAGTGCACAATCACAATTAGTGAAGTATTCTAGCACAAATTCAACAATTATTTGATGGGAAAATCAAATATTAAAAAAGTTATTTAATCGTTGCTTGAAAGTTTCTTTGCGTGTACCTATTTGATATGGGACCAAATTTCTTAGAAACCCCAGTAAAAAATATATATTTTATTATATAACATATTATATTATATAATTATTATATTATTATATATATATATACATATATATTATATATTATTATCGATTAAGGTTTTTGTTTATTAGTATTGTTTTTCAGGTTAGAAATAACGCAATCGGTAGATAGTTAATGCATACTAATATATTTTTCTAACCTTTCATCGCCTAGATTCGTATTACAAACCCTTCTACTCATTCATTAATTGTATAATACTTACTATTTTTCTACTAATGATAGTACGCCGTATAAAATATTTGTGTTATTCGATACTCACTGACTATCTCAGAGACTATAAGATAATATTTGTCCATATATAAATGAAAAAGGGGTTCAAATTAAAAAATAAATGTATAAGTAAATAAGTATTTATGTAGTTTACCAGAAAAATCAACGCGAAATTTTCTGAGCATCTTGCTGATTATAAAACATTTGTTTCTAATAATCGCATTATTAACAACAATACAATTATTGTTCGGCTATTCACACTAAGCTCCGTACTAAGCTCAAGAATCTGAAATCGAAATTGAAGTTCGCCTATCGAATGGACTTCAATGTTGTGCTATTTTTCAACACTTTTAATACGTAGACAATTTTGATTGGTCCACATATGTCCAATCAAATCGTTCCACCGATTTTGCAAAGTTCATACTTTCATCTCTTTTTAACATTCTCTATATTCACTCTAAAAAACCTTTCCCATAGCCGGCGTTTGGACAGAAATATACAAATTGCTCAGTTTGTAGAAGTTCGTTACTAAAGTTTTTTTTAAGTAACACGCATTATGATGTGTTTTAAAGCAATTATTGCATTATTAACAATAGGCGTTATAAGTGCCGAAGTATTTTTTGAAGAAAAATTCGAAAATGGTAAATTTTTAAAGTAGTAACATCGTCACGTTTTTAAGTCTTATATATTCTATAGAAAATTGGAAAAATGATTGGATTTACAGTAAACATCCTGGAAAAGAATTTGGAAAATTTATACACTCTGCTGGGTCTTTTTTTAACGATGCTGAAGCAGATAAAGGTAGGTGACCAATATTAGAACAACTCAATACCAGAAAATATTAAATAAAATATTACGTTTAGGCATACAAACATCGCAAGATGCTCGGTTTTATGCCTTGTCTAAGAGATTCGATGGATTTTCGAACGAAGCTAAGCCATTGGTAGTTCAATTTTCCGTAAAACATGAACAAAATATTGATTGTGGAGGAGGTTATGTGAAACTTTTTGATTGCTCCCTAGACCAAACAGACATGCATGGTGAATCGCCCTATGAAATTATGTTTGGTCCGGATATTTGTGGTCCTGGTACAAAAAAAGTTCATGTTATCTTAAGCTACAAGGGCAAAAATCACTTGATAAACAAGGACATAAGATGCAAGGATGACGTATATACCCACTTCTACACCTTAATTATTAAACCAGACAACACATATGAAGTTTTGATAGACAATGAAAAAGTGGAATCTGGAAATCTTGAAGATGATTGGGATTTCTTGGCACCCAAAAAAATAAAAGACCCAAATGCGAGTAAACCAGAAAATTGGGATGATAAGGTACGATGTCTAATTTGTTTATATATATATTATATAAATTTTCCTTTATTTAATACTACTACATATGCACATTCATACCTTTGCACAAACGCGGCAACTTTTTCTTTTATTATTTTTGTATCAAAAGTATAGTCTAAGTATTTTTCTAGGCCTGTATCAAATATTTCGAGCCTTAAACCTAATCGACTTTATTTTGCACTTGCAGCTACGATTTTTAATTATTTTAATGATTTTTAATGCTGTTTAAATACTTTTTAGTACGTATCAAATAGAATTTGGTAACAAATTATTTATATTTAATTGTGTTAACTAAATAGCTAATTAATAATTTTGTTTTACTGGATAGTATAACATTTGAAAAACTTGGTGCCGATAGGCACAGCTGAAGAAAAATCTCCTCTACCAAGTTGACTTATATAAATTTGAATTACGCTATCAGTTTACAATTTTAAATCTCCTTTAAACAGGCGACGATTCCCGACCCTGATGATAAGAAACCCGAGGACTGGGATAAGCCACAACACATTCCTGACCCTGATGCTACCAAGCCCGAGGACTGGGATGATGAAATGGATGGTGAATGGGAACCCCCAATGGTGGATAATCCGGAATATAAAGGAGAGTGGCAGCCGAAACAATTAGACAATCCCAATTATAAAGGAGCTTGGGAACATCCGGAAATTGATAATCCTGAATATAGTCCTGATGATAACCTTTACCTTCGAAAAGAAATTTGCACTTTGGGATTCGATTTATGGCAAGTGAAATCTGGAACAATATTCGACAATGTTCTTATTACTGATGACATTGAGCTGGCAGCCAAAGTGGCGGCTAGCGTAAAGGATACACAATCTGGTGAAAAAAAAATGAAAGAATTACAAGATGATGTACAAAGAAAAAAAGATGAAGAAGAATCAAAAAAAAATACAGAAAATCACGATGAGGAAGATGACGATGATGACGACGAGAATGTCGATTCGAAAAACGAATCAGAAGACAATGGGCATGATGAATTGTAATTATGATAAATAGTAATTAATGCAAGTATAAACGAATTCAATTGTCCCTATTTAAGTGGTTTGACAAATACAAGTAACTTTTATATTGTTTATGTAGAATTACAATTTGCAAGACTTATAATATAATCTATAAATAAAGATTTGCATATTATTCTCCAATAAATATGTCAACAAATATATTGAGTATACCTCTCACTGTTCTTTAATGCGGGTGCTAAAAAAAATATCGATCGTTCCTTTTTCTGAGCCAGAGTCTCGAATTGGAGGCATTTAGGTAGATTTTCGCTCTGCAAACGTCGCACCAGCCGAATAGCTTTTCGCTCTTAAGCAGGGGCATACATAATTGATGAAATTGGCTTAGTGGTGATGCGAGTAACAAAGTCAGTCGCAAGCAAACTGATCGATGCTTATCTGCGTTATTTTATTTCGAAGCAAAATTAACAAAAAAGCTTTATAAAAGCACGTATGTTTTAATAAGAATCATTTTTACCTTAAATGCAATTGTTAAATTTGTAAAGCAAATATAGTTTCTAGTTTGAATATGGCTTGCTCACATTATCAAAAAACTAAGTTTGTACCAATTAGTGGTAATGCTGATACAAATACAAGTTAAGACATCCGGCCAACCAAAATAAATATTTTAATTATTCAGAATAGGTAATTTTGGCAATGGCCGCCAACCTTAGCAGACTCCTTGTGTGCGTCTACAACTATGTTGACGTCAGCTTTGCCATGCATTGCCTGTTCGCTATCAACGGATAAAGGTCACAGGGCTAACTTCGCTTTCAGATCATTTTTGTACTTTATTTCTCGTTAATAAAAATTGGGAATTAAGCGCAAGTGATGTCAGTTTTTTAATTTTAGTAGCTCTTCAACCAATTATAAAAGGCCGCAAAAAAACAAGTTTTCCATATTTGATTGCAAATATTCAGATTATAGATCAGATCGTTATATTAGCGCATTCGCTAATCTCAGAAAAAATTTAAAAACGTTTTTTTTAATATCTGCAATAAATTAGTCGCTTTTGTCACAAGGTTCTAAAAAAGACATCATGAATTTAATCGTGATTCATGTCATTATGGTTAAATCTGATAAAGACAGCATACTGTAGTATGAACCGCTATTATGATATGTATTACCTTACCATACAACATATGGACAGGATAAAGGGCAGCTAGAAGAAAAGTTTATTTTGCAACTATGATTTGCTTATTCACACACATTTGTGGGTGTTTTTATTGCACGGAAAATGTTCGTAAGATACCGATAACGGGCCAACCGTACACACGATTTGCTGACCCCTGCGTTCCCCCCCCCCCCCGCCCCTCACTCACCAAATTCCCCGCGGAATCACCGTAAAATTCGCGGGGATGGGTTGCCTATTTTAGGCAATCTCTATTATTCGTCGATGCTTTTCGCATCGTCTCAGATCCCTCTGGATGCCTATTAAGAGCTGGCATTATATTTCTCGAGTTGTCCTCTCCTTCCAGCATGAATGAACGTTACCAGTCCCTCCATCATCTCTGTACCTCGAGTATTGGTACAGCTCGGGTTCCGTGTGTTCGTCCAGATTTGTGCAGTTCGGGCCTTGTAGAGTGTTCTCATGCTTGAACCTATGGAAATACTTCCTGTACCCGCCGTTTCCAGAAAAAAGACTATGTTAGGTGGAAGTTAATTTCTCTATTCTGTCTCCTAATCCATCTCTCCTGCCAAGTTGCTATCGATGCTGCTCTCTATTGTCGGATAACTTCCATTGAGACGACGTCTCCCTTGGCTATTCAGGCTATGTATATGTTCTCCATTTCCTTGGCCATTATATCTATCGACAGCATTCCTGCCAATACTGTGGCTACCTCGTTCAAAACCGTCCGGAATCCAGAAATAGTGTGCAGAGCACTGAGCCTATAGGCGACTGACAAATTCCATCTGAGGCCTGTCTGGCTTGTAACCGTTTGTTTTATGGCCTGCCAGCTCCAGGCTAGCGCCATGCATCCAGCTGGCTACGTTCCTTATGGTTGCTTTTCCTGCCGCTTCTACTTCTTCTATCATGTACCACACGAGTGGTCCCAGGACCGACCTCTGCTGAGATCATGTAACCCCTAGCACCGTCATCCGTATCATAAGTCAATCCCGATCGGGAGGACAGTATCCCTATTAGATTTAAGGCTTCCAGTATGCATGACCAGCTTGCTGAGTTAAAGGTATTGTGGATGTCCAACGTAATCATCGCGTAATACTCCTTGTCTCCTTACCACTATCTGGTTCCCTCTATTGCTTTAGCGGCAATATCTACCAACGTCTTAACTGCGTCGACAGTATACCTTGCGTTGCCAAATCCGTATTGCTGTTTGGACAGGGCTTCTTTCTCTTATTGTACACAATCCTTTCCAGGACTTTTCCCGCCGTGTCCCGAAGGCAGATTAGCCTGTATCCCGAAGGTTCCTCTATTGGGTTGTCCTCGGTAGAAGGATTAGTTTCTTCCGCTGCCATCTCTTAGGAACTACACCATCCTGTAGACATCTAGTATATGTCTCGGCGAACGCGTCGGGCTTCGTAGGCCACCAACACACAAACGCATAAATGCTTCTATACAATACACCCATGCCAACGCTAACGAGATGAGATGCATCCTGATGCTACCAAGGCCGAGGACTTGGATAATGAAATGGATGGTGAATGGGTCGACAATCCGGAATATAAAGGGAGTAGCAGTCGAAGCATTCGGACAATCTTGTGATTATCAATTTCCTTTATAATTGTATATTATATATATATTGTATATACAATTATGAAGGAACTTGGGAGCATCCAGAAATTGATAATCCGGAATATAGTCCTGATTCAACCTTTACCTTCGAAAAAAAATGTGGACTTTGGGATTCGATTTATAATATGTGAAACGAAAAAGTTACAAGATGATGTTATAAT